CGAAACGAAATCCGCAAAAATTAAGAGGCTTGGCTCTTGATTTAAGCTAGATTCTGATTGAATCAGAGTACTTTTTCTTTTCGATGTTTGTGAGAGTCTGGACTCTAGATCCAATATGTTTTTTTCCAGTGTGCTTTCAGATCGGTTTGCTGTCAGACTACAAATCAATACTGATTGCTGATGCACTTAATTCCGTTCTCAGTGGATAATATTTTTTATTTTATTTTTTTTTTTACTTTTTGACCAAAACTACGTGCATCCCGACCAAAGTATCGTCGACGTCTTCACGGCCGAGCTGACAATAAATCTAGCTCCGAAGCAGAAACAGAATCTCTGGTTGTCAATCGATATTTCCTCTCAGTAGGGTTCATCGATTATTTACGTTGGCTGAAGGTGCGCATCTAGGTGCGAGGTGTCAGCCTCTTCAAAAATGACTCAATCTCTCACGTTTGATTCACTTGGCCTCGTATTTTTCATTTTTCTCGCCCGATGAGTCAAAAGCTGAACGCACCGTGTCTGAAGTACCGAGACCGAGGTCTAAACACTCATGTTTATTATTTGAACGTATTTCTGTCAAACAGAACTATGTGCATTAAGACATGAGCCCTTAGACCCATGAGAATATATGCATAAAGGGCTCACGTTATTATGCACATAGTTCCGTTTCTCAGAAATACATCCATTTATTCGTTGGCGAGACGCTTTGTTTTTTGTTTTCTGTCATCGTTATTTGTCTGCGAGGGGTCAATAGCACGGGAGCCGCACGTCTCGCACAACAATAATGGAAAGTACCGAGCCCCTTAAACGCCTGCTTGAGCGGCGCGAGGGTCAAAAATTGACCCAATATCGATTAGAGGCTCCAGGTTCTCTTAAACTGAATCTTTAGCAAGAGTAAGCAAATATAGATTCCGAGCACAGATTCGAGATTCCGAACAAATTTTGCTACTCTCCTGGTTTCATTTTAAATGGATCGGGTTTAATAGAAAGGAACCAACCCATAGAGTTAAGAATGAAAAAGAGAGGTTTGAAGTTTTATTTCTCTATAAGGCTCAATGTAGGAAATAAAATTTGACCCCTCTTAACACGGACTAATTATTTTTTCTCGACTTGGAGTTTTTGGCAGTGGACTATATACGGCTTGTAGAACTCATGAAAATCAGTCCAGTAGAACGCTGGAACTATACTAAGCGTTACCAGTTACGCAAAATCAGGAGGTCTCGGAGCTTATAGTGTAGAAACCGGTGTCGATTCGATCGACATGAATCGATCGAAAAACAAGAACGTGAATCGATCGACGTGAATTAATCGTCACCGATCCGATCGAGAAACCTGTGAATCGATGGAAAAACCCGTGAATCGATGGATAAACCCGTGAGTCGATCGACAAATCCGTGAATCGATCGACGAACGCATTAATCGATCGACAAATGCGTAAATCAATCAAAAAAAGCCGTGAGTCGACAGACAAACCTGTGAATCTATCGACAAAATCCATGAATCGATCGACAAAATCCGTGAATCGATCGAATTTTGTCGATCGATTCACGTTTTCATTTTTCAATCGACTCATGTCGATCAAATCCATACCCTCCTAGAATTCGTTCCAATTCTTAGTAGGATCGTTCAGCTTTGTATAGTCTGAAAAATTTTACGATAAGTTCGAAGGAATTTTTTTAGACGTGGTGAAATCTTCAGTGAAGCAACATCATCGTCGTTACATCATTGCAATTATCATTTAATTGTCTCAGGGGAGTCCATGTTTTAATTGTTCGGGTCAGGAATTGACTCATCCTGGATCATTCAGGCTAGTTCAATTGTTTTGTTTACTCTTCCATTGCCGTTCATTGGTAAGGTGCAGAGCAAGCACACAGGTAGAGATGTTGTGCAATCTTTTCCTTTTCAGCCAGAATTTTCCCAAATAAAATTTCGGGAGAGACCTCGTTGTTGTGATGATTAGTCAAGAAAATTTTCTCTTCTAGAAGAAAATCGATAAAAAAAAAATTCTAAAAATAAGTGGGTACCCAGATCCCAAGTAGAATTTTTCATCGAAAAGATCGCCTTATTTTGAAATTGATTTTTTTTGGCGATGAAATCGCTAGAGTCTTCAATATCTGAGCGATTATATCGATCTTATCGCAGTGTTATCTCTATAAAATCGAAATCGTACTTGTTCGATAATATTGCAGTAAGTCGCCTTCGACTAAATCCCGATTTTTGTTGCAAATTCACGCGATGAAATCGCAATTTTTTTATCGATAATATTGCAGTAAATCGACGTCGATAAAATCGCGATACGTTCTCCGAACAAATCGCAACTTTACGGATTAAGGATGACTCACCAAAAAAATTAAAAGGAGGTGTCGAGATTTTCAACTCTGCGCTGATCATATTAATTAGACAAGATCATAAAGACGAGGTATGCATCTAAACACGAACTTCAATTTTCTTGAAGCGTGAAGATCATGCGGAAAATTTTGAAAGGAAAGATTACATTATACTATTTCCATTTGACGTATAGTGTTTTTTGGCACAAGTTCAACGTCCTCGCTAGTGGAATATCCCATATTCTGTGGTATTTTTATGAAAAACTCATTACGGCAAGGAGGATGATATTTCAGCAATGAAAATTTGAATTCACGAAATGCCGCAATTTCTCATGTCTATTTTATGATTAATTAACACGAGTAAGAACTGCTGCTTGCATTTTAAGCTAGCATCGCCCTCTTTTACGACCGGCAATGCCCGGTTAGATTCTTGAAACAACGCACTTGCGGTTAATACTGAACGGTGTTTTCAGTCCTACTCATGAACGTAAAAACCTGCATTTACCTATTATCGATAGCATTAATTTAGTCAGAGTTGCCAAATACAACTGAGTTCATAATTTCATAATTCCGATCTACAGATATCTATTACCAGAAAGCGAGACCGATTTGACTTCAAAAATGTGCATCCGTAAATAAAACTAAAATTTTAGCATGAAATTGTCTGAACTGAGTACGATGGTTTCAATATTCCCTATCTTCTCAATGTAAAACGATAGGAGTTTTGCATAACGCGTAACGGAATCTAACGCTGTGCGTGTCCGGTGCACCTTCCACAACACCCCCCCCCCCCCCCCCNTTATTCTGCGTCTTCTCAATACGTTACCCTTTCTTATAAAGTGGTATTTCTCCGACCCAAATTTCCTTTTCTGGTTTTTCTGCTCTTTGCCGACCATCACCAGTTGCAAATAAAGAGAAGAAAATTAGTTGGATTTTGTGTAGTTTTTTAATTTTTTATCACAGTGAATGACAAATGGTTCTTTCAGGGTGTAGCTGTGCAAAAAAACTTGAAATCACAAGTTGAAAAACGCTGCGCGAGTTTGAATGATCGCGTTAAACACTGCAGTCAACGCCAGACGCATGTTAGCGCCTGCAAGACTGCATGAATACTTCACGTATTGCGCGTAGTGTACGCGCGCGCTGTTGGTGCCTACAAGACTGCGTGGATACTTCACGCGTTGCGTGTGCGGCACTGTGCGCGCCTCGATCTTCGCGTTTCCTCGTTTCCCGTCTTATGTAGTTCTTTTCAAAGTTTAAACAACGTGCAGCAGCTGAACCGTTTGTTTAACATTCAGTATGCGTTTAACTCAAGTTTTCTTATAAGCAGGGATTTCAAATTCCATCGAAAACGTAATATCTTGATTATTCAATACTTCAATACTACTTGGTTACTGACAATAATTTTCGTCGTATCAATCGTGTTCAACGTTCACAGTGATAATCGTAGGGTAATTGTTCGAGAAAAACTTCTCTTAATAAAATCATAAGAGTTTCGGGACCTAACATTGGTTTTTTCGGTCTTCTATTTCTACTTTTTTTCACATACTCGTTTGATTTCAGAGATATTTTCAGTGAGTCGTGAAGTTATCTATATGTATACAATTATTTTCTTTCTCATGGTTAAGTATCATCATTATTGACTCCCTCGATAATCCTGAGCATATTTTTCTTCGTGAATCACTCTTTATGTTCTCTTCCTTATTGCGAAGAATCATTATTGTGGATTTCTTCAATTTATTATTCTGAGTGCATATTATTAATTTTATATATTTCATCTCCTTTCAAAGTTTGGAAAATCGCTTTTGGCTATCGATGTAGAATTCAGTCCTTAGAAGAGCCCACTCTATTTATATTAACCCACGAGGGGTCCGCGAAGCTCCCTTGAGGTGCTGAGTCGCATATAGCGGCCACGGCGCACACTGGATCGAGTCAATAGGGGAGGTCGGACAAAATTTGTAAACTTCAAACGCTCATAACTCCGTTTACACAAAATTTTGAGATTCTAAAAATGGTTTCATCGGTTTCCTCGTGAAATTTTCTTCTAAAATCACCCCTTGAACTTTAAACTGTGACAAATTAAACTTCAAAATTTGCAGTTTTAGTCAAAAATTTCGTGTCCGACCTCTCTAATTGACTCGATCCATTGTGCGGCGCGTAGCCCGTAGCCCCCTATTTACTTTATAAATCGAATTAATGTTTTTAAAAAGTATTTTGGCCGCTTCTCTTTGATTGTCTTTGAAAGTACGTTGCCGTTAAATTCTACGACCCTCCAGCAGTTTACCAAGAAGCCAAAAGTCCTCATGATTATGCTTTTCGAAATTAGCGCGGGCAATAGACGAAGTTTACAATAAAATTAAATGATCCTTTACAGGAACGTTGAATTCCAATATTTGAATGAAAGACATCATTAAAGGGGCTTGGAGGATGAGACGCATAAGTGCAGTTTTTACTATTTCGAGAATTAGGTGTTTGAAGCGTAGAAATTAGATGGAGCTTCATGGCGGAAAGAAAGTTCAAACTGACTTTTTGCTGCATAAAAATTGGAATTTGTGAGCTATTTTTTTACAGGCATTAAGACTAGTTTTACTTGAAATCATTAATATTTCAATTTTCTCGAAAACTGCACTTATGCACCCTGTCTTCTAAGCCCCTCGATTTAAGAAAAAGACAATTAAATTAAATTAGATATGAATATTTTTTTTAAAATTCATTTCAAGACATCATCATCAATTGTGAGGCTCTGTCTTCGAGCCTGTCTCTCTGCGAGAAAAATTATCTGATTAGTCACAAAAAATGTGAATTGAACGATTTTTGTCAGCGCAGATGTTGAGCGAATGTAACTACGACAACTGTTTTGAAACATTGTCGATCGTGCCCTTTGGCAATTTTCCCCACCGGAGTGCGAGGGTGTGAGAATTAACTCGACACTGTCTGTTCCGTGCAGTGACAGCATTTGCGAATGTTCTGGGTCTTTTTGATGGGTGTTTTGATGTATGTAATGGTAATAACCGGCGATCCTACGTTGGCTCTGATCTCATGTCCAGTCGAAATATAAAACGAGCATGGGACTCTTTGTTTATCAACAGAAGCTGAATTTATTCCAACCTTGGCCGAGAAAATAGACTTGAAGATCATGAATAGCTAATGCCCTCTCTGAAAGTATTTCTTTGTCCTGGGTGTCGTGCGAGGAGAAACTCAGGGAAATCTCCAGGCTCGTCGGGAAATGTGCATTTATTTTGGACGTGAGGGAAAGAGACGTTCAAGGTTGCCGCATTTATGAATGAAAGATTGTACTTACATAGTAAAATAGAAATTGGATCAGCCATGATTTTCTTCGTTGAGAGGCTCTAACGCCCCTTTGATCCGCAACATCTTGGTTTGAATGGAATTGAAGTCCTACGAAGATAATTTCAATTGACAAGATTTTAAATGAATTTTTCCTCTATGCCAATATTTTCATTCGGACGACTAAATTTTGAGAGTTCATGAGAGATCGGTGTTTATCAAGCCAGATTTGACGAATTCTGTCTGAAATAAAGTCTTTACAACGAGGTATTTCACGTTTAGTACTTCGACGCTGATATTATTGTTTTATCTGCGAGTCAAAGAACTGTATCATACAGGAGGAAAAAATGCTCAGTACTAAATACTAAAATTACCAATCACCTTGACTCGTGGAATTCTGGTTACATTTTTTCTGATGGATCTTTTTTATCATTTCAGAGGCTACTCAAAAGAAACTAGAAGCACGTATCATCAAAATTCTGTGTTTTAAATCTTTAGGAGTGGTAAACATAATGAGTTCCATTAGGACGTCAATTTTCTACATCAAATATCTTCGTTAAATGAAAATACGAAGTTGGGTAATAGTTAGGAATTCTTTGTGTCAGCGTTTATACTATTGTTTCTTCCATCTTAATCTTATCAATCAGCGGGGTATAAGATTTGCATTGATTGCATTCCGAGCAAGAATTTGTGCAATAATTAAAATAATCGCGGTTAGTATTGGACGTAAAAATTAGGCGTGTCGATCAACCTTATAACCACAAAAATATGAATTAGCGATCATTAGCGATCAGCGAAATATGAATTGTACGACTCTCTTATTTGTATTTTCATCGATAAGCCCGATTGGCTCTGATCACAAAAAATCAATTATGAAGATATACGTCCATAACAGACTAGTATGTAACAACATTTTCCCAACAGAACCCTTCGAGAACTCCCTCAGCCAAGAGGACTCCCTTCTGTCTGTTCAACTCCAATCGTATTATATTTTTCGACCGATATATTTTTTTCTCCCAACCATAAACACCTTGCCTCCTTATAATCATACTTAAAGGCGAAGACTGTAAACACTGGTTTCAATTCAGGAGCCTTAACCACTGCTATCGCTCCTCTGTTGTCACGATGGCAATCCGTGGTGGAAAAAATTGTAACGACACGGCCATTGTGTTCGACATGGTAACCCATAGGCACTGGAGCATGTGATCGTATGATGTAGTCAATTTTATTCCTAGTGCAAAAAGATTCAGAAATATCAGGTCCAAACTGAATAGAACCAAATCCTGGTATGTTTTGATGGCGTCCATCTTTCTCACCAGGATTTGACCAAAGCATATCGAACATTAGCGCTGAGTCTTCAGGATCACAACCCCGCTCAATACGCTGAATATCATCTAAAGTTACGCCTGGTTTTGAGAAGAGTCCTGCATGAACCACCAAAATTCTTCCATGGGATGGAGCATAAGCCCCAATTTTCCGCTGACCTGTGAAACGATTATACATTTTCCGACCCCAGATAATGGGTCGAATCAAATTTGTGCCACTCCAAGAGCTATCTACTTTTTTAAGAACGTTGCCTCGAATGATAAGCGCAAGGGGTAGCCATCGAAAGACTTCCCAGAAACCATGCAATACCTCAACTGAGTTTCCGGGATACTTCCTATCCGATTCTTCCGTCAAAGAACCTTTTCCTTGACTTTGATGAAAATCTTCATGACTACCGCGATTAATGAAAAATGAGTCCGGATAAAGCAAAGCGAAACCAAAAAGTATCAGGGCACATTCTATGGATTCTGGTCGTCTGTTGATGAAACCTCCGTTGAACAAATACCGATTGCTTGGAGATGGAAATCCGTTGATGTCAAATATATGTAACAGATCTTCCAGTTTCCCGTGGATGTTTCCGCAAACAGTAATTTTTTCTGCAGGTTTTAATTCCACCTCTTGCAGAGAAGGTTGCGTCTTGAAGTGGTCCCGAGTTTGTTTCAGTATCTGCAAAAACACGTATGATACCAGGCACGAAATATCAATTGAATACAGTATAATATTAATTCTAGCAAGCATGATTTTGGACTAGACGGAGCAAAAATCAAAGTACTGTTCATTTATAGGGTAGGCCGCATAGGACTGTTTGAATTGAGATGTCCGTACCACATTTTTTAACAGTTTTGTAAAAACGTTCATCTTGCTGCACCTTTTTATTGAATGAATCCAGTACGTCAGTACAGCCAAAACGTAATTGAACGGTATCAACTAGAACTAGCCAAAGCACATCAAATGTTGCCCATTAAATGTCGCCTTATTTCCAAATAATGTTTCATTTTTTACGAGAGAGCAGAGCAAAGTTTCTGCTTTGATAAGTTTTGAAAATAATGTTTCATAATATGGTGTAAAACCACGAAAAGTTTCAAAGTATTGTGCTATTTAGTTACTCGTTTGGTACTAAAAGAAGAGAGAAAATTAGCTAGAGTAAAATGTTAACGAGAAAAAAACATTAAGAAAAAGCCCGAATACTCTTTACTTGACTGCTTACTGACACTTTCATTTCCCTGCGAAATGGTGTGAACCCAGCACCATTTCTCCACCGTGGAATGTTAACTAGTCTATCGATTTGTCGCAGAAAATTAGAAATCGTTGTCAATTTGAAAGCAACTAGATAAAGAAGTTTACACCTCAGCATTTAGAATAAAAAGGAGAGTACTTACTAAAAATTTTGCCCTAAATTGAAAAATACGTTTTTTTCATCGAACATGCATGTTAACTATTGGCATAATGCGTGTGCGTGTGGTCAAATCAGTGACCTCAGTTGAGTTGAGGTCGTATAGGCAACTAAACTAACCGCGTGAAAAAGCGTATAGTATCACAAAAAACTGAAGGCGTTCGAAGCCGATATCATTATTTTCAAGGCAATTACCGACAAAATCTACGTTATTCCGTTGCATTTTCTGATCTGATCATAATAGCAGGTAAGATTCACGCTAATTGCCTGCAACAAATATACACAGGGTTTTCTCCCTCTAGAATGCACTAATGAGTATCAATTCAGAATTTGAAAAAAAAAAAAAAAAAAAAACAAGAAACAGAAAATAAACACTTCAAACTTCAATGCCTACTTGGATATAGCACGAAATATTCCACTATACTAACCATTAAAACGAATTTTTGGTGCAAAATATTATTTTTGTCTTCATAAAGAGTTTTGTTGTAGAATTGTATTAAATTTTTCATGAATGTTAGTGTGACATTATCTAATTTTGGTCCCACGTAATCGGTATCAATATCTGTAAAAATAAATATAGATAAGAACGAGGGCAATTCGCAGCAATATGAAACGTATTGATCGTTGTAGACAATCCTTCAAATTAAGAAAAGAAGTTCACAATAATAATGGAATTTTAAAGTCGAAAGGTTTGGAAACACCACAGTGTAGCACGTATATAATTATAGTAGCAAGACGTATAGACTTCTGATATAGATTATATTATAGAGGGGGACACGTAGATAATATAAGCATTAGTTATATTATCTAGGCTACACCGTTCTTATTGAAAAATAAAGTATAGTGCTGTATGAATTATCTACTTTTGCACCATTCTCTCTTACTTAGAGCGTTTGGATCGACTGCATCTAGTATTCCACGGACGCTTCCTTTATCTCCAGTTGATGAAACCACTAATGAAGCAAGTTGTCCAACGAGGAGGATCTGCCTGAACGTGGAATATATTCTACCACTTTTCTTCGCGGAACAAAAAGGAACGGGATTAAAAAAAGATTTAATCAGGTATGACTTCACACTCGCCATATTTTTTTATGGGAACTATGAATAAATATATCAAATGCATGTGTTCTCCTTGCTGATAACGGATTCCATTAACATTATCAATTAGGATCATCAGGCGTAGAAAATCTGCGATAAGCCTGGTTAGATTTTAATCTCAGAAAACTGGTAGCGTTCAGATGTCTATATAGAATTAGTCCTAGGAGATTGTGTTGAAAATAAAAACTAAACCAAAATGTACATGGAAAAAAACTGTGGTAAGAATGGCAACAAATCTACCTGATTTTGGACTCGGGTAAACTTTTGAGCGAAGGTAGAGAAAACCGGAAAGTTTAAATATAGGTCCAAACGTATTCAATTTGTCTTGATCCAAAGTCATCATTTTGTCAATTTGTATTGGTCTTTAATCCTTATGATTCGAGGGTTCAAGGTGGGATTCGATTAAAATAAAGTACAGAGAAAACATAACAAAGTATTTATACATTTTTACAAACAACAGAACTGCGATGGAGAACAGTGCAAAAGAAGGAAGAAAGGGAAAAAACACAGTAGAGATTATACATCAAAGGCATAAGTTTTCTTTCACGATTTCATTCTTGCTGGGCGTATGTTCATTAATTACAATTTTTCACAACTCATGATATCTACTAAATCGTTTCTTACAGCAAGGCGCTCAACAGTATTCCACGAATGAAAGTACTTAAAGTGTTAACGATTCTCTTTAAAAAAGAAAAAGAAAACCCTCGCTTTACTTACTAAGGGAACAGTGAATCGGCTCAATCAATGTCCTAATGACTGATGATGATTACTCGCATCTGTATGGTACGGAGGCATAGGTTAATTGGACTACATTTGCAACATGGAACAACTAATTCGGGCTCATTTTAGGAACATCATACCTGCTGTTATTTTCCCGATGCAGACACGTGTTTTTATAACTATAAGCCAGCACTAATAGTTCCAAATTGCAATTTGAAGTCCAATTCTTGCATACATTCAACTTAACGAGGAGATTGGCTACGGTTCGTCGTACTTTGCTGATGACAGGCATGTGCAAGTGGACTGCATTTTGCAAATTGGAACTATAAATTCTGGCCCGGTTTAAAAACAACGTATGTGCCATTAGTTTCCCTATGCGCATAAGTGTTTTTTTCAGATGAGCCAGAATTTATAGTTCCAAATTGCGAAATGCAATTCACGTGATATTGTAGCTTGTGTATTAAGGCTTCTGTGCCAATGTAATTACGATATTTTTTCAACTTTATACCTTATGGCAATGTGTGCGTCTTACTTTCCGATTGGGATATCTTTTTCGTCCGTCCAAAATCGTCTCATTACTCGGGTTTTTAAGAATTCCTCTACAACAAAAGTGAAGCGGAATTTCGTGAACCTTGGAATCAACGAGGGGGACTCCAAAACTATGAGTGCACCCTTGTTTAAGCCCTTCGCTGTATCGGTGAATTCATCCGTTGATATTAGCGATACGATTCGGCCGTTGTGCTCTACGCAGTATCCTTCATCCAAGGGCGCGAAGTTGCGAATGATGTAGTCAATTTTGTTCGCCTCGCAGAAGGATTTGCTCTCATCTGGCCCTATCTGAGACGTAATGTTCGGTTGATTTTTTTCCACCTGCGTAACATTTCTACATGCTTCGGGTATATTCCAATCCGACCAAAGCATGTCATTTATTAAAACTGAAAAATAGAGATAAATTGTGGGTTTTGGTAATGGAGCTAAGTAGACGATAGAGAGGAAAATATTCAAATGAAAGGTAAAAAATGAGGGATAAAATACATCGAAAATTAGTTGTAAAGTTGTTGATGCGAAAGAAAGAGTGCAATCATTACTTTCGGCCAGTAGCGGGACGTGAATTATCGATTATCGATTTTTACCCATTTGAAGCCATGAGAAAGAATCGATTATTAAGGTGTTCGTTGTGAACACCATGTTTATAGATCTTTTCCATAGGTTTACATGGCAGAGTAATCGATATATTGCAGAGCACGCCACGCAACTTCTTTCAAGGAATTTTGCTTCCAACTAAAACCATCATCATAACCATACCCTATCAAACTCCTTACATTTCCGGCTTTTGTTATGGTTCCGTCTTTAGCCAAATTTTAAATGTAAACAATCTCGAGCTGAGCTTCCTTTTTTTCGAATTATGACTCACATTTTTCATTGCCACGAAGCATTTCACCCAACGAGTTTTAACGTTGAGACCAAAAGGAGAGAAATAAAAACTTCATTTACGGAGATGATGACGTCGACGGACGAAAAAAAATTGTAGTCATGACGAAAAGGTATGCGAGGGAGGAGGGAAAAAAGAGAGAGAGAAAATTGGACGTATTCCTGTCAAACGGAACTATGTGCATTGATACATGAGCCCTAAGACTCATAAGAGTGTATGCATAAAAGGGCTCACGTGATAATGCACATAGTTCCGTTTGATAGAAATACGTCCAATTAATACTCACGATCTGGACCTGAATTTGTAGGGTCGCAGCCCCGTTTGACCTTCTTGACATCATCTAACGTCACGCCTTTTTTGGGAAACATCCCTCCGTGGGTGACGAGAACTCGACCGTAAATTGGGGACATGGCGCTACCCTCTGCACCAGCATTCTTCTTCTCTGCGATATCAGTGCTGATAATATGCGCAAGTGGCATCCACTGGAAAACCTCCCAGAATCCGTGGAGCAGTTTTGAATTCCTAGGATACTTCGTTCTACATTCTTCGACGAGATCGTCCAATCCGTAGTTCTGCCCTTGGTCCTCCTTATGGCCGCGATTTATAAAAACTGCGTCCGGGTACAACAGCTTGAATCCGAAATAAAGCAGAAGGCACTCTATGGATTTGAAGCGTCTGCCCGTGATATCGCCGTTGAACAAATAACGATTTTTTGGTGAGGGAAGACCGTTCAAGGAAAATATATGCACGATGTTTAGTAGTTTACCGTGCATGCCACCACACACCGTGATATTTTCATTTTTTGGTAGTTTTATGTCTACTAAGGATGGTTGTTTCTTGAAGTAGTCTCGAGCTTGCTTCAAAATCTGGTGGAAGAGGAGAAACATGAACTGAGTTGGACATTGCCTATGATGGACTGGAAAGACTGAATGCCCCTCCTCACCATTTTTGAAAAGTGGGAGCGAATCGATTGTTGAATCGTTCTGATGATTGATCGATAAATGGACTAAATTTTGCAATTTGGAACTATTAATTCTAGCCCGGTTTAAAAACAACGTATGTGCCATTAGTTTCCCTACGCACATGAGGGTTTTTACAAAAGGGCCAGAATTTATAGTTCCTAATTGCAAAATGCAGTCCAAATAGCATTGCTTCAATAGGGATATAGCATCAAGGCCATTCGATAAAAATTAAACTTTTTGAAGACTGTAACATAGTGAATATAATGCCTGTTCGAAATCCCTGGTTAAAGGGGTCATTTTTGTAATGGAAAAGCCAAGTTTAAGGTTCAAAACTACACTTATAGTGAAAATAACTGATTTACTAAACCAACTTAATCTCTTTTTTATCGGAGCAATGACAAATAATTTACTAATCGGGTTGAAAAACTGTATCTACTTTTTAATAGGACGCAAAGTTTCTGATTGCGAATGGTGCCAAAGCAAACTCCACATCCTGCATGGTTTTGCTCAAATACATTTCTGGCGACTGAGTATTGACTGCGGTCACAAAACGATTAATTGCAAAAAGCGGTAATTATTTCGAAATCGGTTAGAGGATACGTAAATGTCATTTTTATTAAACTGCAGATGAAACTCCGGGCCCGAGAGCCATAGTAACGAGTTGTATTGGCATACGGTATTTTCTTAAATATTTTGCTATAGTGGAAGTCACTGCACTAAGGAGCTTCATGATTAAGGCTACCTACAAACTATTCCCCATACTGAGGTTTTAATCATTGCTGTAGGAATTTTACAGAAAAAGGGTGACACACCATGGTATGAACGTAGTTGAGAGCAATTATAGTAAACGCATGCCGACGGACGTAATATTAACGCCTGAATGCAACTATTCAAACTCATCGGTTGGCCCAGTTGCATAGGCAAAAAATGAAGGCGCTCCGTCGTTTCTTCGTACCTTCGTACCTTCACTCAGGAGCGTGCAGTATTGCAAAGTTGATAGCCATTTACGGCTGAGAAACATGTCAGATTCCTCACATTTTCTTCATTTTCATTTAGCACAGAATAGTGTAAAAACATTATTTTAGTTCTTCAAAATTGAGATAAAAGTAGTCTAAAAATTGAAACACTCAGCGAGACAATTTTTGCTGTATGTATATAGGTATCAATACTTCCTAAAACTTACGGTTTATCAGTTGCCGTGCAGTAGGCTGAATCCTAAATAGTTTCTATCACTTGTAAATTTTTATCTGATAAACGATTCCGGCATCTTTGTTCCTTCTCCAGAATGAAATTCCACCCCATCTAAATTTTAGTTCCATAAAAATTGACAACATGATTAATCTAGTAAATTATTGTAGCATTGTGAATTTAAATGAGAACTCACCGTAAAGACGTCCTTTTCAGGTAAAATACTGTATGGTTTCTCGATGGAGGTAATAATTAAACAGTCATTATAAAATTTCAGGAGGTCTGTCATAAATTTTAGAGTAACTTTTTCATTTTCTAGGACGGGTCCCGTGTAGTTTGTTTCAAATTCTGCAAAACAAATATGAGAAAGTGAATAAGTAAGAACTGTTGAAAATGAGTTTAAACAAATTCCAATCTCACAAATAGTATGTATGAAATTCCATGTAAGCCTAAATTCACGCGGCAGGCCCCAGATGGTTATTTTGAGGTTTAATCGTATAGTATAGTAGAGTCCACGCCAAATGAACTTAAGCCCTTTTAGACTGCAACAGACGTCATTTTTTCCTAGAAGTTGAATGTACGAATCGACGGCGGATCTTCTGTTGCAGTCCAAAAGTGCGTAAACTTAGTTCGCGTGACCTTCAGTAGTACTCAATTATTCATCATATTTTAATAATTGTTCAATAATGCAATTGAAAATTATTTTTTATCTCTAGTTTCTTAATTATATTATTTTAGGCCAAATGAAAAACATTTTTTAATTTTTTATCATAGTGTAAGACAAATGGCTCTTTCAGGGTGGAGCTATGCAAAAAAAAACATGAAATCACAAGTTAAAAAACGCTGCGCGAGTTTGAATGATCGCGTTAAATACTGTAGTCAACGCCAGACGCATGTTAGCGCCTACAAGACTGCATGAATACTTCACGCATTGCGCGTAGTATACGCGCGCTCTGTTGGTGCCTACAAGACTGCTTGGATACTCCACGCATTGCGTGTGATCCACTGTTCGCGCCTCGATCGTCGCGTTTCCTCGTTTCCCGTCTTACGTAGTTCTTTTTCATAGAGTACATAGAGTTGTAATGTAAGTGGGTAAGCTGGCGCCAATTTTAAGCATTTTCCAGGTCCCGAATTCCGAGACTCCTGTGTGACGCCGGGTCACTTTTTCGATACATAATTGATTGTTTGCTATACACGGGTACCTGACCATCCAATGTAAACAAAGAAGATAGGAATCACCACGTATTCCACACCGCCATTTTGGATCGAACATGTATCGAAAAAGTGACCCGAACTCGGCGCACACAGGGATTGGAACTTGTCGAGCAGAACATGGTGCCAAGGTGCCATTCATCATGTTTTAATAATTGTTCAATAATGCAATTGAAAATTATTTTTTATCTCTAGTTTCTTAATTCTATCATTTTACGCCACATGAAAAACATTAGCCTCTTACCTCTATGTGACCTAAGATCGGAGTCGCTGATACGATCAAGAGTCCCTTCGACATTTAACCTTTCCACCGAAAATGCGTGTGATACTGATAACGCTACCAACAGACTTGTAAAGATGGCACTGAAATTAACTTCGTGCGCTTCACATCGTGTACCTAAAAAAAGAAAAAAAGGAAGAGAAAACAAATGTAAATTAATACGAGCCCTTTTTCAAACTTTAAGATTTTATTTGTATGAAAATGGTAGGTATAAATACCTTAATAATTGTATCGTAATTTTGTGTTTTTGAAGAATGTTTGCAGGGATAATTTTAATGTTTTGGTACTTATGCTTTATAGAGGTAGTTTAATGCCGGTAAATGGTAAAAATTATTCATAAGTACATATTGCCGTAGATTTGTTCGTTATTGTAGCGATTTAAAAATATGAATTAATGAGGAATATGAAAATCATTTCAACATTCATTATGTAAAATCGCAAATGTTCAAAATCATGGTTGTGTGAGAGGGGGCAAAGACTTATCGAGCTACATAATAATTCAAAATAAATCGTGAAGCATTGCGATGCAATGCAAAACTTCTAGACGTTCTTTGTTACATTTGAAAAAGGAGAGAAAGTTGCAAGCATCATAAAAAACCCCGCCAAAAAAAAAAAAAAAAAAAAAAAAAAAAAAAAAAAAAAATCACTCTTTTTCTTATTCATAAACCAGAGAAAGTGTACACACAATTTCCCTGATTACTTGCACATTGAAATGTGCAATATAGTTATTTTTATAAAATGGGTAAAATGTCGGCAACACTTCGAAAAGTTCACAATCGAGCAAGGATATCTTGCTGTTTAAAATATTTGGAATACTTAATTTTTCAAGACTTACCACTCAGACATTGTCTCCTGTCTAGTTTCATTTTTGGCACTATCATGAAAGTAATATGTTCAAGGGTTTAACACATTCATGATAGATCTGAATATGTTTTAAAACTTATACTCCATCATTAAAATACTTTCCAAAATGACACTCTTAACCTCTTTTTTCTTCAACATCGCAGCATACAAGCATCCTAGGCGAGACCACCTCAAAAAAGAGACATTGAAGTTAAACCGTGTCACCACATGGTCATGTTTAGCTTGCCTATGGTGTTATCACGCTTATAATCTCATTGATCAAAATCAATGAGAAAATAGGTAAAACTAGCTTGATCCAGCTCTCATTTTAAATGTTACAAGGAAACATTCCTTCTTTCACTACCACTGCCACTTCCTCTGAAGAGTCTAAAATACCATGAAAACATAAAATTACGGCCATCGATCTCCATTGCTGACGAAAATAATCTGTCAATGCATCGAATTGATTTTCTTAGAATACGCATGAAAAAATAATTAAAAATATAATAGAATTAATGCAACCAAAAAGAGGAAAAGAAAAACAGCAGTGGAAAAATATTCCGTCATTATTATGCAATTTAAAAAATAAATAAATAAATAAATAAAAATGCAAGTGAATCCAAAGAATTTATTTATGTTCTCATGATCCCAAAAAAGATGAAACAGTTAATTTTCAAGAAATTTGGTCATTTGACGACAACCCCCAAGAGTTTCATAAAATAAAAATCAATTTATCTACATCCCTCAAAAATTATTGATCCTAAAACACAGAACGAAAGAGCACTCAGAAAAATAATAAAACGTTGCTTTTTTTTTACCTTGAGATGTTGTTTAAATGCTTTATAAATCGGCCTCACTATTTGGCTCATATAACCGCTCTTTTCTATGAGTAACCATTCAAACTTAACCGAACTGTAGATAGAGTTCGGGTCGCTGAAACCGAATTGTAGGAAAAGTATGGTCACGTGACTCACGTGAATCGAAATTACGGTTACGGAATCGTAATATACGGTCGATACGGAACATCGTAGTACCGCACTCTGGTACATATGAACGATTTTTTTCTCAGTGTAATCTGATGATTCTAAAAAAAATTCCCGAAGAAGTCGCTTTGAACTTTGTGTTGATAGACAATTTCCGGAGAACCGATTTTATGGGAGGAAACTCAAATGGAAGTTTTTGGATCTGAAAATTGTGTCAGCTACTTGCCTCCTTCTTCAGCCAAGGTAATTACGTTTGTTTCTGATTTTAAAAATCAAAATTGCGGGTTTTGATTTTATAATTGATCGTAATAAGATAGTATCCGTATACCTACTTTGTTGCAATCAAACATTTGTGTACGATAGATGATGACTAATTACCAAATTGAAATTTGGTCTAGATAACAGTTAAACGCATCAATTATCATATCATGCCCCCGAGATAAATTAATCACATGCAGTTCGGAGGTGATAGACATCGTGGATATTACCTTTATCATTGACATAATGTCTATTATGTGATCTGTTTTCCAACGTTGCCAAATAGTGTCTTACTTAAGGGATTGTTCATCTCCTATAAACATAGAGGCCATTTTCTTTACCGTGAATCACCTTATTTTTTCCTGTGGGTATAGGGGGTTTAAAAAATGGTTTTAAAAAAATAAATAATAAAGAAAAAAAATAATAAATAAATTTCGGGATGATTAAACGATAAATGAAAAGGTATTAGGACTACTAGGTTAAACTTCGTTCATTTTTTAATTTTCCAATTCCTCTAATTCGTCGATTCCTCTTGTCGATGACGTCACTGTTTACGTTCGATATGATATCGAAAATTTCGTTAATAAAACTTCACCTCTGCATGGAAACTCACGATCAGTAAGAGTCAATGGAAAATCTTCGAGAATCTAAGATTCTGATTTGACGAAAGTATGTCGGATATTTCGATCGACGAGAAAAGTCCTTAGTCACGTGACCGCCAAAATATAGATTTATGAACGTGCTCTCTTGATAATATATCACAGTAAATTAGACAACTTCGTACCGCACTTTTCCTTCCCCAAACAGTTTCAAACAATGTTTGAACACACCGAACGTTGACAAACAGATAAAATGTACAGGCACAAATATTTATTATAAATGAAGATAAAATATTCAGCTATGGGAAAAATCTTCGTGTTTTTGTCTCTTAGGAATTCACCGATAACGTGTGAGATATTGTTTGTTAGATCCATCTTTTTCCGAATGCATTTATCTGGCATAAACACGTTTGTGTTTTTTAAATTTAGTTAAAGGAAAATCTTAGTGTTTAAAATTTGACGTGAGCATGATGATATGATTATGGAAATGGTATTCCTTTGAATTTAAGGAGCTCCAAGATCACCTTCGAAGGAAAGACTTAACTGTCCTTGTATAATTTTATAAAAAAAAACTTATAGACAGGTCAACTTGGAAGTTATGGGACCATTGAAGTATTAATCTCCCTGAGGGTAAACGGACGAACAAATGATGACGCCAGGAATGTTAACAAGAAAAGTTTTTAAGTGGGTATACAAAATTTAAGACAAAATTTATTTATATTTAATATGTTAAACGTAATTAATAACATTCAACTTAGGGACAATTTTTCCTGTTTTGTCGTGAATATTTGTCAACATCATTTACAAATTTGCAGTCTGGCAACTCATTTTCCGTTTGTTTTGTGCAGTGTGGACATTTACAACAGCAATGACCGCGCACCGTAAACACTGTCGTCGCAGTGCTCTTCTAATTGGTTTTAATTGTCCATGGATAAAGACCGCCTTATAGTTTGACGCAGATGTCATGCAATGAGCCTTGGTTTTGCCTAATAGTCTGATTACATAATTTGTGGAGCAATTTCTTCTAAAAAGTTTGCATGATGTAAACATTATCGACAGTGGAGCTTTTAGACTGCAGCCATCGTGTGGTTAACAAGAGTCAATCCTCGAATGAAATAGAGCTTGGCGGTTGAGTATTACAAATCATCCCGAAAATTATCCATTACCTTCTTGGTATCAACCATAGTCCTGGCAAATAGTAATTCTAACTGTTAGACCGCTAGTGAGCGACTCACATTTTCAATCGTTTCAGGCAAAAACCATGACCTACATACATGATCACAGTCGAAATTACATGCCAAACATGTGAATTTCACCAATTTTAAGTACTGCTCAACTAATTTCAATGCAAGATCTCAAGAATAAGTATTTTTTTTTTTAAAAAAAAAATTTAACATTACCTACTTTGACTTCTGATGATGAGCTCATTTAAAATCTACGGACTTTGCACCAACAACTAACCAGACAAAGAGGAGTGCTGTGGGGAATGCTGCATTCCAAAAGGAACTCTTGCCTCGTCCGTTCGCATTACTCAAACAGATTAGTAGTGTTTAAATTCACTAAAGTAGTATATTACGAACAGCAAGCTATTTTGAACTGAAATTTATCTCATTACTTGTTTTAATCCTTCATCCATATTTAATTCTTCTCGTAGGATCAGCTCCGTTCGTCCGGTATCTGCCGACACGAATATTTTTTTCATCCGACCAGCGAGTACTAATAATTACACGCCCGGTCGTATTACATTGTTTCGAGTACGCTCCCCGAGCGTATGTTGTGAATCTTGGTTTCAGTGAGGGAGCCTCTAAAACCACAATTGCACCCTGATTTCTACTGTGGTGATTGGCGGTAGAAAATACGGTGACAATTCGGCCATTGTGCTCGACGTGATAGCCGTCAGGCAACGCAACGTGTGATCGTATGATGTAGTCAATTTTGTTGAGGTTACAGAACGATTCGGTGACGTTGGGCCCGAATTGGATGGAGGTATAACGCAGTTTGTTTTGATGCACGCCATCTATCGGACCAGGATCAGACCAGAGCATATCGAACATCAAAGCTGAAAACCACAAGAATCATACAATATATTGTCAGTGCGAGTTTATGCTGTTTTTTCATTATTTTTTGAAGAGGCTTAAATACTCCAATTGTTAGCAGAAACAATGGTACAAATAAGACTACTGGACATTGTACCTAGACATTTTGAGGTATAGAATTTTCCAATGTTTAGATACATTAGAACTTGACAATTAAAAAACTTCAGGTATTTCCATCATAATTTTACAAACATAGATTCGGAGCTAGGTTGCCGGTGGTCCACGCGGCTCTTTTGAAGAGTTTTAAGAGATGCCTGTTCAAGTATTACCTCGCGAGAAAATGAAAAAAGATTTACCATTTTGAAACACTGAAGCTGGTTTGTGTTTTTTCTCGTTTCACCAAAAGCAAGTTTGAGAATATTATTGACATGCCATATCATATTATCATTGGTCGTTATGAGATGAGTTGAAATATATGTACAAATCTAAGTCGAGATGTGTATGTTTCAAAACAAATAATGAGGGTAAAATGGCTATTGCGCCTATAGTTAAATGTTTTAACTCACAAGTGTATCCAGCATCACGAGCGTCGCATCCTCGTTTTATCTGTTTGATCTCATCCAAGGTTACATTCTTCTTTGAAAATAAACCACCATGAACGACCAAAACTCTTCCGTGTGACGGAGTGCACACACCAGGCTTACTAAAAGGGGTGAAGAACTTATCCAGGAATCTTGCGTACAATTTATGGCCCTTCTTGATGTATTTTCTAATAAAATCTGCTTCCTGACAAGAGCTGTTTTTACTCTCTTTATTTGTTGTATCGGCGATTTCAGCGATGATCAAATGTGCAAGTGGCAGCCATTGGAAAACTTCCCAAAACCCGTGCAATAACTTTTTATTTCCCGGATACTTCGTTTGTACTTCTTCGTCAAGACCGTATTGCTCTAAACTTTCCTTGACGTCCTCATGATTACCACGGTTTATGAAAAATGCATCAGGGTAGAGCAATTTATAGCCAAAATAAATTAATGCACATTCTACGGAGTGAGGTTGCCTGTTCACGAAGTTGCCGTTGAATAGATACCGATTTTCTTGAGAAGGGGCACCGTTTATGTCAAATATGTGAAGTAAGTCCTCCAAGTTACCGTGAATGTCTCCACAAACTGTAATATTCTCATCGCTGGGTAATTCCACTTCTATCAGTGATGGTTGCTTTTTGAAGTAGTCACGTATTTGCCTCAAAATCTGAAAAAAATAGTGATTAGGCATGTGGGCATTCACCAATTAAATGCTTCAGAGACGTTTATCTATTTTAGAACTTATTGTAGAACTCAATAATTTTTTAGATTTAATTTCCTGAATTTGACTTAAAAGCTTTATCAAAAATTTAACAATCGATTGGTTTTTAAATGAAAGTTGCGTTAAAGTGAAAAGCGTCACTTACTTTTTCACCAACACTGGTCTCATTATTTTCTTAAGCATTAATGACGGGACGAGTGCATTAAAATGTGATAAAATAATCCTCTTCTTTCTTGAAAAATGCATGACAATATGTGACAGTCCCCTGGAGAAAAAGGACCTTAGACCACAAAAACTCAATATTAAGTTATTTTTATCGAAGCATTAAGGAATGTTCCCAATACTTAAAGAACCAAAAAAAACCCAAAAATATCAAATTTGACAGGGATTAAGGTGATTTGAAGTTAGCAGTTCAAAAATACAGTTGCAAAAAATTCCATTTGGTATTCTATTTTGACGTGCTCAGGAGAGGGATCTGCCGGATTACGATATGAACTGCATTTTACAATTTGGAGCGATAAATTCTGTCTCATCTGAAAAAAACACATATGTTCATAGGGAAACTAATGGCACATACGTTGTTTTTAAACCGGGCTAAAATTTAAGCTCCAAATTGCAAAATGTATTCCATATGTTTTACGAACTGCAATGGCGTATGAATTGATCCGCTTTCAAATAACTTATTGGGGCACTAGAATGAGGTTTTCGTCGGAATCTTAGTATCGGAGTTTTCAACCCCATGGGGAGTTTATCGCTCTAATATGGATATTTTGCGCGTTCTAAAGTTCCAGTTTTTTGCGAATGGTCCCTTGCGTTCATTTTCTCCGATTTTATGAGGAAAAAAATAAAAAAGGAATTAAACGATCACCTACTCACAGCATATACTGACCAAGAAAGTATATTTTTGATGCAAGACACTCCATTGTTTACTTTCTAAACTGCTTACTCTGAAGAATTCTATCAAGTCATTCATAAACTTGAGTGTGATCTTGTCATCTTCCAACTTAGGTCCTGTGTAGTTAGCTTCGATCTCTGTTGATTGATAAAACATAAAAAGAAAAAATGTAAAAGAGGGGAGAATTTGCGACAAAAGTCAAGAACTAATGAATGGAGCTCTACAAGAAGAAATACAAGCCCTGGTAAAAATTGGCAATAAGAGCTGCGTTTCAAAATACCCTAGGAATTCATATAGCTGGCTAAAGAAGGCTACAGAAAATCATATAGCTCGCTGTAGAATGCGGAGAAAATCATACGGCCGGGCTATACGAAGCGATAAAAAATTATGCAGCCGGGCTATAGTTCCTATCGCCGGGCTTTACACTTTCTCGCCTGGCTGTTGCTTTTTCGCCATCGATTATAATAGACTATAAGAAATTGTGTAGGAATTCGTGTGCTTTGGAAATCATTAAGTTTGATACGGAACCACCTTAATATTTACAAAACATACATTATATTTTCCTTTAATACATATATGTTTTCATCAATTAAAATGAGAATAATCCATACAGGATGTGCAAACATTTCAAAATCATGAGTTGAATAACGCTGACTCCGCCAGATTAAATATTAGAGCCTAACACAAAGTGGAGCGGCGACGCACTAGCGCCTACAAATCTAACAGGGATACTTCACGCATTGCGCAACGCGTGAAGTATCCCTGTTAGGTTTGTAGGCGCCAAT